ACCGCCGGGGTCTTGGTGGGGGGCGGGCGCAGCTCTGGGTACTGCCCGCGTCGCCCCATCATGAGGGCGGGGGAGGGGCCGGCGCCCCGGGAAAAGCAAGGGCTGGCCACCGGCCGACCTGGGGCGGGGACAGGGTGCCCTCTGCAAGGGCAGTGGGGTGGGCAGGCGTGCACTGGGCGGTGGGGGCAGGAAGGAGGACAGCGCGGTCTCCCGGGCACCCGCAGGTCCAGCTGGAGGTGCCTGGGGGGCGCGGGCCTCCCGGGTCAGGGGCGTCTGCTCCAGCCCCGCCCCGGAGCCCGCCCCATGGCATAGGCCCGGAAAGCCGCCCTGGCTGGGCAGCAGTGCCACCAGCTCACCGAGGTGTGTGACCAGTAGGAGTAGTCGAAGCTGAAGCTCTTGGGCGTCTCCTTGGGCTGCTTGGGGTTCACGATGGCTGTGGGGCAGGCGGGTGCGGTTGGCGCCAAGCTGGGGTGGCCCACGGCACCCGGAGGGGGTGCCCCGGCCAGGCCAGCTGTGCGGCAGAGTCCGCCGCAGCGCTTCTGGGCGTGGGGGGTGGGGCCTGTGGCCAGTGGCCCCCCACACAGCCTCAAGAGGGGACGCCGGCCACAGGCAGGTCGGGGGAGGCCCCAGCCGGCACGGCCGGGCTCTCATCCCACAGCTCTCTGGAGCCGACGCGGCACCTCAGGAGGGGACACTGGCCAGCAGCCTGGCCAGCCCAGCCCTACTGCTAGCCCAGGCCCTCCCGCAGGTGTCATGGAGAGCCACTGGAGTCCAGTGTCCAGGGCCCAGACCCAGCTCCAGGGGCGCTGAGTGACAGGGCCCTTGGGGGCCAGCAGGAGGCAGCTGGACTGCCCGTCTGGCTCTGCTCTGGGCCCAGGGGTCACCTCCACGCTTCCTCCCAGAGCGAGGCCTGGTTCTGCTGGGTCCCGGCTGCCCCAGGATCTGGGGCTGCCCACAGGCCTCCGGGCTTTGGGCAGCCAGCCCTGACTGGTCATCTGGCCTGCGCCCAGCCAGCCCACCCAGCCACGGGAAAAGGATGCGTGCGCAGCCGGACCCCAGAATGTGGCCTCGTTGGGAAATGCGCCTTTGGGTTGAGAGGGCACCCCGGCCGCCGCGGGGCGCGCGGGACCCCACTCACTGGTGGTGCTCCCCGACATCTGGATGATGCACTTGGAGTCGCGGCTCATCTCCCGGGAGTTGAAGGGGCGGACGCGCACCGCCACCTTCACCGAGGCCCCGGCCATCTCTGCGGACGCTCGGTGGCTGCTTCCGCGGCGGGAGCCCGGGCGCGGGCGGGGGGCACCTTGGGAGAGGGGCCGCGAGTCAGGACGCACCCAGGAGAGGCAGGAACCCCACCAGCCCCCGCCTGGGTGTTGGGGCGCCGCCGACCGGCCGGCGCTGGGGACCAGTGCCCGGAGACCACCCCCCCGCGAACCTGGGGCCTGGCGGGGGTCAGTGCGGGAGCCTCAGCGGCCGGTGAGGCCTGAGCTACGTCCCCGCAAAACCCAAAGCCAGGACCCCGGAGCGTCCGCCCGCAGAGGGCCCCACCGACTGGGCGGCCGTCCGGGCTCCAGGCGGGCTCTGAGGGGAGCTGGCCGCCC